GGTTGCTGTGAGCTGTAATGCCATGGCACTCTACCCAGGGGGACAGCTTGAGGCTCTGTCTCAAAAAAAAAAAAAAAAACAAAAGGTCCTTTGGAATTCATTCTTATAAGAAAACTTAATGACCTTTTACTACATGGGTTTTGGTTTTAGGCTTCCCACTGATTTAGGGATAGAGGGACCCAAGGAGACATTTTTCTAAGCAATCTTCAGTGAATTCAGAGTGTCAGGACTTCTCTGCCCATTTTCCTCATCACCTATTGCCTGTGAAAACAGCCATGTCTGGGAGCGCAAACATTATTCTTTCCTCTTAAAGTTTAAACTCTGCTCCCAAGATTGTTGGGTTTCCCCTAAAATCACAATTATTCTCTTCTTTTTTTCTGTTTTGCTCGCATTTAGAACTTTACATTTACATTATGATTAATGCAAATACACCAGAGACAGGTTTTTCAGCTGGCCAAAATCCCCACCACTCCCTATTGTCACACCCGGGCCAGCTCACTCCTTTATGTTGCTGGCCTTTCCCTGTGTATATTTGAACTTGCAACCTCTAATATGAGACTACCTCATTCTCTAGAACTACTTCTTTGAATGGCATTGTGTGGATTTATCACACCCAGATGGCCCATCGGTCGCCTGATGGATACTTGGCTTGTTTCCAACTTTTTGCATTTCATTCATTCACTTATTCATCAGACAATTATTGAGTGCCCACTGTATTCCAGGCACAGGGGATACAGCTGTGAGCATAAACAGATGTAGTCTCTGTCCTCATGGAGAATAAAAGCGAATGAGGAAAACAGACATTTATTTTTAACACTATCCCCTTATTTAGCACCAAGTGTCTTACACAGATCATTTCAATTGCTTTGCTAACCTGCATAAAGATAGCAATACAGGGGCGGTGCCTGTGGCGCAAAAGGGTAGGGCGCCGACCCCATATGCCAGAGGTGGCAAGTTCAAACCTAGCCCTGGCCCAAAAAAAAAAAAAAAAAAGATCCCAATACACCTACTTTTATGCATGCATTAAATTGGGTAGATTCCTGGAAGTGGACTCTAGAAATTATTTTTAGGAAACATTTTTGATAACATGTTCCCAGCTTCCAAACTAATTGAAAGTCTTTGCATTCATGCAAGGGGAGAAAAAAACCCTTCTTTAAGTTCTTGGAAATAGAAAAGGCATCTGGCCCATCTCTAAGGGTTTGCGGGGGTGGGAGGTAATTTTGGAGCAAATAAATATTTCAAAAGAAACTTAGATCCTGTTAGCAAAATAAGGGTTTGCTTAAACAATTGATTTAAGAGATGAGAAAACTTAATTGCAAAACGTCTGTTTTGTGTTCCCTGTCATCGTATGATTGACTTTCTACTCTCCAGCCCCTGCCTCTCTTAAATTTCTCTCAGGTAAGCTATCTTAGTGTCCCCTAGTAAATAACTCTCAGCTAGGCAGTTCTTTCATTAAAAAAATGCATTGCCCAATTAATTTCTAAAGTGATTTTTTCTTTTCAGAAACTAACCTTTCATAAAAATAATAGTAGAAAAAATATTATTTTTCAAATAACTATATTTCAGGGAAAGAAAAGCAGTCAGGTAAGCCTTGACATTGCATTCAACACAGGTGGGTATACCACTTTCCAAAAATCCTATGGGCTCCTACAGAATTTAAAAATAATGGCAAGGAATATCTAAGATACGTGTCATGGCCTAAATAGGAAAATTTCTTATACATCTTCATTCAGCTACCTGTCCAGAAACTGAATGTCTGAAGTGCTAGCATATTTTTATCTAGTGAGTGAGTAGAGAACTGCATTTGGATATCTACAAGCCAGGAAGGCAGATGAAACCAGAAAAGTAGTAGAAAGAAGATAAGCTTGTGGATTTATAATTTGTCAATATTAATAACCTCTTGCCCTTGCAAAGTGCGCTCCTCCTCCAAAGTATTTTCACATACATTATTTCATTCAATCCTTCTCATGTCTCTGTCTTTAGACTGTTACTTAATTTTATAAGAAAAGCTTTGTTGGGATGACATTCTCAGGCTTCACAGAAAAATACTGTGAGCCTTAATATGGG